TGGAAATTTGGTAGGATCATTAAGATAGTCATAAACTTCTGATAGACGAAAAACTCGTTGGTCATGTACTGAACCGACATTTCCAATATAACAATGGATAAATCGACATTGATGATCACATATGGCCTGTAACAAAATTAAATTTAATCAAAATTATAAAAGAAATACTAATAAGATCTTACAAATATGTTAAAATTTACATTTATAAAAAAAAATGAAAATAAATTTTATTCAATATTAACATAACTACTTACTAAAATAATCAAAAGTAGAATACCTGTAACTGAATTGAATGATGTCCCTTTCGATTCACATAACATTCTGGATTTTCGTGTGGTGCAGGAATATTGATGTGAGTACCATCAATTGCACCAAGAACTTTAGGAAAAGCACTGATAGCAAAAAAACCATTGTGTATTTCCTTTGCTCTTTCTTCATTTGGCCAGGTAATAAAATGTGGTGCCAATTCAGTTAAAGCTTTCATAACTCTTCTGACAGATTTTAATGCCGTTGCTTTTCCTACGTCAAACTTTTCACAAATTGATCTGAAGATATAATTAAGATATGTTTTAAAATTTATTTTAAATCTATCTGTATTCTAATAAATATATATACTTACCTATAGGAATCTGGAGTTGCCATCTTCCAAATGGCAATCATAAGCTGCTTTTTAGGTGATATTGTAGGACAACCAGGTTTCTTTCTTGTTAATTTCGAACTAATGAGACTTAATATAAAATCAAATGTTCCAGGGAAGATCCTAAACAAGAACAATATATATATATATTTTTATATCATACCTATGTCAATTCAATAGATGTCAAATAAATATTTATATGTATGTATTTATGTCCAAATATTTCTTAGCATATTATTATTTATAATTAATAAATATGTAACTATAAACATTTACCTAAAATGAGATTTGAACTGGTTTTTACTATATTGTGGTATGATAACCTCTACGTAATTTTTAAGGCGCGGAATATATTGTTTAATATTTCTGTTTTGTAACAACTCATCAATATTATCTTCTTCACTTTCTTCTGATGAAGATGAAAATATCATATTATAAATCTCATTTGTTGTTACAACAAATATTTGTCGTTGAATATTACTGAAAGCAGCCATTTTTTACCCGCGGTACTATGTTACTAAACTGTCGTTCGTCTTGTAGCTAGCGTTTGCGCGCTATAGCCTAAACGAACGAATAGAAATGCTGCATATAAGCGTCAGCACTGATAGTGTGAAAGCGAGCAAGACGAACGG